TAAGGGCAGAAAGATTCTTTCATATCCCCAAAGACGTACAAGATGTGCACTGAGGTTCGAAGTCTATGCTTGGCACGTCTCAACCACGGCTCTTGGGCTGAAGTTTCTGATGACATGCTCGGCTTCAGAAAAATGTGTTTTGGGATGATTTTATAAATTTATATTTTCCTGTGTAATGAGAAAATATTCTTCATGATTTTAGGTTAGTCGGTTGTTTTTAACTGTAATTCAACTCTATTACTTCCTTACTTTTTTTATTTTTAATGCATGACTCAGGTCCCAACCTTGGAAATTCTGATAGGAGGATATTCTATGGGGTCTGAAAATTAGTATTTTAAAAAAATTCTCCATATGTAATTTATTTTGGGGGTCACCAGTTTGGGACACTAACAGGGTCCTTAGTCATGGCTTTTTATCCTTTTTACTTTTTCTATTTATTTTCAATTTAGTAACTAAGATGTTTCATCTATATTTATATAAGAGTCATAAAAATGAAAACAGAATAAATACCATTTTAGAGAGAAAGTGAAAAGAAAGAGTAGGAAGAACATTTGATGCTACATTCAAGCTGAGCTGCAGTCTGTAGGGAGCGTAGTTAGGTATTTATTTCTACTTTGTACATGAGTTTTGCTACTGAGTTGGGCCAGGTTCTGCATATAGTAGAGTAGAAATGCAACAAATATGACTGTGTTATAAGACAAATTTCTTCAATAAACATGAAAAAGACATCAAATATCCATTGGCTAACACCTAACTATTCTTTAATTCATAACCATTTGCAGATTGGAAGCCTGATATCTGTGCATTTTATTACTTGGATTCATCTCAGAATGTCACACATGAAGAAAAGTGTTGTTTATCTTTCCTACTTTCTGATTAATTGTTTATTTCTCCTAATTACCTGAAAAACTAAGCTATGTGTATTTACAGTTTCCATGCTGAGTAGAGTCAGCAGAACTGAGATACATGATTTGAATATTTAAAGTCCAAAAATAACAAATGCTGGAGAGGCTATGGAGAAAGGGGAACCCTCCCTCACGCTGGAGGGAATGCAGTTTGGTGCAGCCTCTGTGGAAAACAGTGTGGAGATTCCTCAAAAGACTAGGAATAGACTTTCTATATGACCCAGGAATCCCTACTTCAAAAAGACACCTGCACCCCAATGTTCATAGCAGCACTATTTACAATACCCAAGACGTGAAAACAGCCTAAATGTCCATCAAAAGCTGACTGGATAAAGAAGCTGTGGTATATTTATACAATGGAATACTATTCAGCCATTAAAAATGACAACATAACGCCATTTGCAGCAACATGGATGTCTCTGGAGAATGTCATTCTAAGTGAAGTAAGCCAGAAAGAGAAAGAAAAATACCATATGAGATCACTCATATGTGGAATCTAAAAAAAAAAAAAAGAACATAAATACAAAACAGAAACAGACTTATAGATATAGAATACAAACTTGTGGTTGCCAAGGGGGCAGGGGGTGGGAAGGAGACAGATTGGGACTTCAAAATTTGTAGATACTGACAGGCACATGCAGAGCAGATAAACAAGATTATACTGTATAGCAGAGGGAAAAACATACAAGATCTTGTGGTAGCTCACAGCAAAAAAAAAATGTGACAATGAATATGTGTATGTTCATGTATAACTGAAAAATTGTGCTCTACACTGGAATTTGATGCAACATTGTAAAATTACTATAAGTCAATAAAAAATGAAAAAAAAAGACGTATCTGCACAGGAATCTTTGAGAGAAGGAGAGATAGAGAGAGAAAATATTTTCCTCTTATATTTTAGGATGCTTCAGAGTAATTCTTCCTGGAAGAAAGGCGCGGCTGGAGAAGATTCTGGACTACTTTCTTGAATTATGAGATTAAGTATTGCATTGTCAGAATCACACTGCATAACCTTTGTCTGAATCCAGTGTTCAGTGTTATCTCTACTCTGTTAGCTGTTTTCTTACTGACTTATTTCCATAACCATCTTGTCTCCACAAAGGAGGGGTTTCAAATGTTGCAAGTTCTTTAAAAAATTTTTTTTCACATTTTCACGTTCTCTGTATCAATAGTGTACTCATGTTTCTCACTAAGGTCTACCTCCTGTTTTCCAGCTTTCTGTCCACTATCCTAAGCCCCCTACCCTAACTGTTTGGCTTCCC